AAAGATCATAAGGCATTATTTGAGCTATGCAGAATTTGCCAATTTCTTTTCCATCTTTACCCATTTATATACTAAAATGAAAGTAGTGTTTTTAAAACTTTTGATTATTTATGCTGACAGTCAATCTTCCTGCACACTGGACAAGTGACTCAAGACACCAAGATTAACTGAATTCTAAGAGTCATATGAGATCAACAACTATCATTCATACCCCTTGCGTCTAACCAGCATTTCTGAGATCGTTGATCATTATGACTGAGGGTCAAAATCAAATGTCCAATAAAATCATAGCACCACACTAACGTTTTCAGCTCTTTGAAAAACTGAATGTTGGTGATTAGTCTTTATTGTATTTTAGTTTGCTGGTACAGGGATTGAACCCATGGCGGTCTACCACTGAGCTACATTCTCAGTCCTCCTCTTTCTTTCTTTCAAATAGGGCTTCGCTATATTGCCGAGGCTAGCCTTGATTTTTGATCCTCCTGTCCTAGCCTCCCAACTCACTGGGATTATAGGCAGGAGCCCCCATGCCTGTTTTAGAGTCTATTATTTTAAAAATAATTTGAAGTTGTCTCGAAATAAAATAAAACAGCTAGGGATGTAGCTCAGTGGTAGAGCACTCTGGGTTCAATCCTCTATATAAACACAAACAAAAACTGTTCATGCATGCTGGGAAACTGACAAAGCACAAGAGCTCAAAACCAAACCCTGAGGGCTCCAGTTGCCCTCTCTCCGTCACTCCAAACACATTCACTGAAAAACAAATCCCCACCTTCCTGAAACAAAGATTTTTCACTGCATTTAATAAAATATATAGCAGCATTGTTATCCTTTTTAAATAGTGGCAATAATGGGGGTGGGGCTCAGTGGCAGAGTCTTGTCACTCTGTGGGAGGCCCTGGGTTCCATTCTCAGCTCCAAAAAATTTAAATAAATAAATGTTTTTGGTACTGGGGTTGGAACCAGGAGTGCTTTAGTACTGAGTTACATCTCCAGCCCTTTTTATTTTTTATTTTGAGACAGTCTCCCTAAATTGCTGAGTCTGGCTTGAACTTGGGATACTCCTGCCTCAGCCTCAGGTGGCTGGGAACACAGGCAGGAGCCCCCATGCCCAGCCTGGTGCATTTGTTTTTGCAGTGTGCTTGGTGCACTAGTGGGTGTGCCCGAGTTGGCACTGCCTGTGCAAGGTGGGGTGGGGAATGCGGAGGGGCTGACCTCGCCTGGCACCAGTTACATAGGTGTGCTCTGTTGGTGAAAATGTGCCCAGATGAACGCTCTGGATACACTTAGATTTTAGCCAGCTTTGTCACTGTGACCAAAAGACCTAAGAAAAAAACTAGGGGAGGAAAAATTTCTGTTGGCTCATAAGTCCTAGTCCATAGATGTCCACTCCCGGCTCTGGGTCCTGATGAGACAGGACATGAGAGCAGAAGGGTGTGGAGGAGGAAGGCAGTTCAGGACATGGCAATCAGGAAGCAGAGGGACAAAATATAAACCCCAAAGGCATGTCCCCCAGTGACCCACCTCCTCCAGCCACACCTCACCTGCCTATAGTCACCACCCTGTCAACCCACATGAGTGGATTAATCCAGATTGGATTACAACTCTCACAATCCAATTGCTTCACCTCTGAATGCTCGCACACGAGGTTTGGGGGGACACCTGATAATCTAAACCATAACAATTTACTCTTCAATAAAAAAAGTTTTAAAATGTGGCTACCAGGTGTGGTGGTGCACACCTGTAATCCCAGTGGCTTGGGAGGCTGAGGCAGGAGGATCACCAGTTCATACCAGCCTCAACAACTCAGTGAGACCCTGTCTGTGAATAAAAGATAAAAAGGGCCGGGAATGTCGCTCAGTGGTTAGTGCCCCTGGGTTCAATCCCGGCACTAAATAAATAAATAAATAAAATGCGGCCTGGACGTCAGCATCCCAACCACTGTGTGACATTCCTCTCTGTCTCCCCATAAATGACGTAACCCGATTTCTTCCAATGGCCTCGTCTTTTATAAAAACCTCGTGACGCGCATCTCGGGCGCGCCTCTGCGGCACAGCCGGTGCATGTCGGGCCTTGACCGCTGGAGCCCATGTCCCGACCCGGAAGGAGATGCCAATTTTAGGGCCTAAGCGACCCGTCCTTCCGGCCCCAGCGCTGGGCTCCCTGGACATTTCGGGGGGTCACCAGGTGGAATCTGGCTGATGGACTGCGCGACGTCCGGCCTCACGCTCATCGTGGCCGTGAGACGGGCAAAGGGCGGGCACGGTGGCACGCGTGACCGCGGGGTGCCGGAGCAGCGGTTCGCGAGTTCAAAGCCGGCCTCGGCGACTCCGCGAGACCCTGTCGCTAATAAAACAGCCAGGGCTGGGATGTGGCCTGGGCCTTAGGTGGCCCTGGGGCCAGCTGCCGGGGTGCGGGGTGGACGCTGTGGCCTCGCGATGAAGGCCCGCACCCCGCGCTGCCCGGGTCCTCATCGGGCCGGGCTGTGACGCAGGGGGACAGCGCCCGGTGGTACCGAGGTGGCCGCGCGGTCCGTCCGGTCCGCAAAAATAAAAACCAGGCCGCGGCCTGCGGGTGGGGGGGCACGCGGGTCAGCCTCTCGGGCATCGGGCCCTGGCCTCTAAGGCGGGGCAGAGCGGCGCCCGCTGCCCCTCACTTAAGGCTTTTCATTAGTAGCGAGGCGGCAGCGCCACCGTGCCGCGGGAGGCCGCCTAGCGCCAGGGAGGCCGCCTAGCGCCAGGGAGGCCGCCTAGCGCCAGGGAGGCCGCCTAGCGCCAGGGAGGCCGCCTAGCGCCAGGGAGGCCGCCTCTGCGGGCTCTTTCTTCACTTCTCCCTGTGACTTCCCTTCTGAGGTCTCGGCCAGGGTCTTCCCTTGGCATATGCAAGCTCTTTGTGAACCCAGGAAATGAATCCCGACCCCACCAGCCTTGTAGGAAATGTGTCCCCCCTTTGTTGATTGTCATTTAACTCTGTGGGTTTTTTCCCCTCCTGGGGACAAAGTGTTCAAATAGTCAGGTTGATTAATCTTTTCCTTTATGACTTCTGGGCTTTGTGTCCTTAAAGACGCCTTCTGCTTCCAAATGTATAAGTAAACCGACTCCTGTTCTTATCTAAATGTTACCTGATTTCATTTTTTTACACTGATATCTTCAAATCATCTGGAAAGTATTTGGGGACACAAAAGGAAGAGAATTCAACTTTATTCCTTTTTTCCAAAGAGCCAGCCAGTTTTCTAAGCACCAGCTAAGTTTAGGAAACTCTTTTCTCTCCTACTGATTTAAAATAAATAGCACTGTGGTCAGAGTCTAGGGTTTCAGAGGCATGAAGCTCTCTTTCTGTATTCATTACTCTTCCTACCATTTTTCTGGCTTAATTCTTTACCATCAATCAATTCTATTTATTTCAGAGTCTCATAATCCATTTTGATTATCTACCTATAGGCTAATCCACCCACATGAATTTTTAGTGTCCTGAATGTTCTGTCCCATTCTCAGAAAGCAAGAGATTTTAAGTAGTTTACTTTCCAACACCAGGGTTGGACTGGTGAATGCAGCCTGGCCGCCTGCAAGTCAGGGATGAGAAATGTGGCTCACCTTGAGTCTTGAACATCCTCTAGTACCTGAGCACCTTCCCCTTGTGTCAAGGTCACAGTTGGCAGGAAAACTATTCCAAAAGCTCCCCTTTGGGCCAGAGACCTGTCACACCTTCACTTGGACCAAGCAGCCCCCACAGACCAGCCCCCATCATTAAATTGAGTGTAACATGCACACCCTTGATATGTGGATTGGATGTACAATTTCAAGTGCACACCCACCCTCGGCTACAATGGTCTTGATTCACAGCGCCTGGATCAGGAGTCTAGACAGCACAGAGAGGGCGAGAGCAGGTTTGTCTCAAGAGCTACGATCACACACAGTTGGTGTTAAGCTGGCCCATCTCAGACTGTGATTTTAGTATACAACATTGCAATGGTTTCGGCTGTATATTAAGAGCACAGAACTGTAAAGATGAGGGCTGGGGTGTAGCTCTGTGGTGGGACACTGGCCTAGTATGTGTGAGGCCCTGGTTCCAATCCCAACACCAACAACAACAACAACAACAACAACAAAAGAATTGCAAAGATGAAATTAAAATAACCCCTTGTTACTTTTCACAAAACATTTTTATCAAAATGTAATTTACATGCAGTGAAATGCATGCCAAATATGGACATCTGAAGTCCACATTACTCGAGGAGCACAAGTTTGAGATCAGCCTCAGCAACTTAGAGGGACCCTGTCTCAAAATAAAAAACAAAAAGGGCTGGGGGTGTGGCTCAGTGGTTAAGTACCCCTGGGTTCAATCCCTGGTACCCCTGAGACTTGACTAGAGCCACGAGGAAACACTTTCCCGGGGAGCTGCAAGGATCTAACAGCTTTACCCTCCTGGCAGCAACCTGTCAGCCCATGGAGAAGCTGGCCTAACAACAAACCCACAGAGAGCAGGGAGCTCAGAGTGACAGGGAGCCAGGATCCTGAGGATGTTCTTTGAGCAGCTGGATAGAAACATACCTGAAGTTATCGCCCCTGACATTTCAGTAAGAAGCCAGTAAATCCCTTTTTTCTCTCTCTAGCTAGTTTGAATACTGTTTCGGACACTATACAGCAAGATCGCAAACATAGGAGCTCTGAGACATGTCAGATAAAAGATCAAGGTTTAGAAAAATGTGTATAGTGTTCTATTTGTGTGAATAAAGGGAGGATAAGGAGTATATCTGCATGTATATGTTGGACTGTTCCAAGTACACAGAGCATCTCTGCAAGAAACTATTAACACTTCCTCTGAGGAGGAAGAGAGGAGGTCAAGGGTGGAAAGGTGATTTAGTTTTCATTGTAATCCTATGGCCGGGGGATACTGGGGATTGAACCCAGAGGCACTTCACCACTGAGCTACCTCCCTAACTAGCCCTTTTTATTTTAAGACAGGTTTTCATCAAGTTGCTTAGGGCCTTGCTAAGTTGCTGAAGCTAGTCTTGAACTTGCGGTCCTCCTGCTTCAGCCTCCTGAGCCGCTGGGATTAAGGGTATGTATGTACCACCACATTTCAAGTATGACATGAGCTAATTCAGGATGTTGTCGGGTGGTGGGGGGAGAAGAAAAAAGAAAAATGTTAGTTATGGACTTATGTAACCAAAAACAGTTTTGGCTTTCAGGTATGGCTAGTATATAAATGTCAACAATATTCTCTTTCTTCTAGCCCTGCTTTCCACTGATTGTCTAGGGTTCAGAAAATCTACTCTCTGTAACCTCACCTCCTACTATTTCCCTTCCACTCCATGTATACTGGTCTCCCACACAGCAGAAATAACCTGCCTCAGAGCCTGTGTACTTCCTGTCCAGGTGGTGGCAAGAAGGCCTCCATCAGCATCAGATTTACATTCTACTGGTGGGGAACTCCAGTAAAAAAAGAGACTTTTTGGGCTGGGCTGAAACTCAGTGGCAAAGCACTTGCCTAGCATGCATGAGGCACTGGATTCAATCCTCAGCACCACATAAAAATTAAAAAATAAAATAAAGGATGTAGTCTATCTACAACATAAAAAAAAAAAAGACTTTATTCCTCAGAGTGTCAAACTCCTAGGAGTCTTATTGGCTCAATCACTGTAGCCTGGTGCTCTGATTGGCTGGCCTTGAGTCATGTGACATCTCTGGGCCTAAAAGTGGTGATGGTGTAGATGCAGGTCTGTTCTTCAGAAGAAAATAAGTAAATCATCCAAAGAAGAGGGGATGAATATAGGGAGGAGAGAACCAACAGGCTTCTACAACATTGCTGTTAATTTTTCTAAACACACAGAGATGTATTACTTTTTTTCTTTAAAAAGCAATGAACTCAGCCAGGCATGATGGTGCATGCTGAGGCAGGAGGATTGAGAGTTCAAGGCCAATCAGACATCACTTTCCTATGTTCATGTATAAATACACGACCAGTGAAATCCACATCATGCACCAGCCCAAGAATGGGATCCTAATTAAAATAAGTTACACTCCATGCATGTATAACATGTCAAAATACACTCTACCATCAGGTATATCTAAAAAGAGCAAATTGAAAATTTCAAAATAAACAAAAGTTCAAGGCCAATGTGTAAGGCCCGGTTTGATCCTCAGCACCAAAAAAAAAAAAGAAAAAAAATCAAAATAAAACAAAAAAGCTTATACCTTGTATGACTTAATTTATACAAAGCTCTGAGTCAGGTAAAACAGCTTTGGTTGAGAAACCTGGTCTCTGTGGATGGGAGTGGCTCAGTGTTAGGGTCTGCCAGGGCCTCACCTGTGCTCGGCAAATGCTCTACCGCTGAGCCCCAGCCCAGCCCCATCCACAGTCCTTTTTATTTTCTAAGACAGGGACGTGCTAAGGAGCTAAGGATCTTGCAAGTTGCCCAGCTGGCCTGGAACTTGCGTCTGCCTCCCAAATTGCTGGAATTATAGGTCTGTGCCACCTTTGGTGGTGACACATTGGTGACTTTATCAGAGGAAGAGAGACCTGAGCCAACAGCTTGCACTGCCATGGTGATGCAGCATGAGGCCCTCACCAGATGCCAGGCTGACGCCGAGCAGATGCCAGCACCATGCTGTCGGGCTTTCCAGCTCCAGTACTGTGCTCTAAATAAACCTCTAGTGTTTATAGATACATGAACACTCCCACTTCCAGGTATTCTGTTACATCAACAGAAGCCAACCAAGACACCTGTGAAAACCTGAGTCGGATCTGCTCAGCACCTGTCCAGGGCTCCCATTTCACTCAGTTTAAAACCCAGATCCAGCCAGGCACCGGGACACCAGCCTGTAAGGCCAGCGGCTTGGGAGGTGAGGTGGGAGGATTGCGAGTTCAAAGCCAGCCTCAGCAGCAGCAAGGCACTAAGCAACTCAGTGAGACCCTGTCTCTAAATAAAATACAAAAAAGGGAGGTGGCACAGTGGTCAAGTGCGCCTGAGCTCAATCTCTAGTACCCTCTCCCCGACCCCCCAGAACAACAAATCCACCCTCCCTGGAGCCCACTGGCCCTAGGCAATCCGCCTCCCAAATCTGCTCTGGTCACACCAGCCCCCTTGCCTCCCCTTATGCTGACTGTTCCCTCTGCCTGGATGCCACGCCCCAGTGTTCACCTCACTCCCTGTCCCTCTACAGGTCTGTTGGAGCACTGCTTTGGCGAAGAACCCTCACCCACTGCTACGCACAACAGCCCGCTTGGCCAGGCGTGGCTGCCTGGAGCCCCAGCTCTTCAGAAAGCTGAGGCCGGAGGGGTACCCGAGCCCAGGAGTTTGAGGACAGCCTGGGCAACACAGCGAAGGTCAGTGCACCCTAGAGCCCCCACCGCCTGTGGTCACCGGTGCTCAGCATGCTGTCTGCCCTACAGGGTGACCATCAGAAGCATGTGGCTCCTGGAGGCGTGGAGCTGTTTGGTCCCTGGCTGTCATCCAGTGATACTTAGTAATCCTGGCTGGAGGACAGCATAAACCCACAAGGAAACGACACCTCCTGATGCTCCTAGTGTCCATGGCGCTCCTCTGTTCTGCTCCCACTCCCCACGGTACCCTGGCTGGGCCTTGCCCCCAGGCACACCCTGACCAGTCACTGCCCCAAGGGCTTCCTGGGGGCCCACAACCCCTTACCCAGGTCCTGTCCTAGATCTCCCGTGCTTCTGGCCATGGTGGCCTTCCAGACTTCCCTAGTGGCCTGAATATAACCAGGCGTGACTACCACTGTGGGAGGCGTGACTTTCCCATCATGCAGTGGGAAAGACCCGAGAATAAGCATTTCCCCAGATCCTCACCAGCCCAAGGCCACAGCTCCCGTCCTCCAACTCCACCGGCTTTTGAGGTCTCTTGTCTTTTCCCTCCGGATTATCCTCTGTTCATCCTGCACAAAACTCCAGCTTTGACCCGAGGATACTCCCTTCCCCAAGTCTTGATTGTTCCACCTATAGCTCTCTGATCCACGCATGAACCAGAATTCTCAGGGGAAAGATGCTGATTCCCAGAGATGCCAAGAGATCCTGATTCTGCAGGTAGGCCCATAAAAATAGGGCATTTTAAACAGAGGTTCCAGGTAACTGATCCATGGCCACCCTGGTTCAGGAGTCCCTGGTGGGAAAAGGCTTGGACAGAAGAAAACTAACTTTTAATTCAAAGACCTCAGCCTCTGCCTAAGGCGATGAAAAGGGAGGAAGTGTCTTCATTTCCCAGCAGATTTTACAATAAACTAGCACTTCCAGATACTTCACACACCCCTGGCCTATCATAAAATTCTAGAAACCCTAAGATCTATGGGAGATCTTATCACTGGGGAAGGACCACAGCAAAGAACAAATGGCTTCTCCTCTCGTAAGAAATTACCAATCCTGTGGCCACAACCCAGGTCTGCTGGCTGCAGCAGTAGCTGGGGTGGAGGAGGGGGCCTAGATAGCAGGGGTTCCTTACCGGATCAAGCAGTCCCCGTGCTCTCCACCTACAGAGAAGACTGAAGAGATACTTAATTTGCTGAACTTTATTATGCATATACATTTACATTTACTAATCCTGGTGTCAACCTTTTGTACAACAAGCCCCCACAGACCCGACTTGAATTTCAGGAGCTGGGCAGCTGCAGCCTCGTCACCCTGCGAGTCCAGTCCTCCCTGTGTTAATTGCACACAACCAAGACAAACCTTGAGGCGGAGAGGAAGAGCTGCAGGTGGGAACCATTCTTGTTTTCTATATCTTCAGTGAGACTCATGCAGGATTTTGAAATGAATCATCACAAGAAATTTGTCTTAAAGTTGAATCACTAACAACATCTAACATTGTTCACATTTTTACCACAAAAACCAAAGTCAGAAAAAGAGACCACGAACACTAGCGAGGGCTAAAACTCCAGGACAGGGTATCATTGTGTGTGGGTTAACATGGTAACTTGCTATCACACAGCTGAAGGGTCACAGCAGAACGAGAGCATGTGAAATACAACAGGAAACGAGCTTTCAGACATGCGCAGGACCGAGCCACCCACTGCCAAGCTTCCTCATCAGGTCACATTTACAAGCAATTTAATTATATGCAAAGAGAAGGCAGAAACAACTAGTTACAGACCTGTACAGAAACAAGTTAACCTATAAACACAAGGTAATATTCTGATAGTTCTCGATGTGACTGGTCTGGGTTACAACATACTTGAGTACTTGTTTTTCACACATTAAAACACATGAGAAAGTAGATTTGGATTACATCTTTGTGGATGCCTTGGGATTCCCCAAAATACAGTGTGGAAACTGTATTTTGGGGCCCTTGCCCTCTCTCTTACACATGCACAAACGCACGCGCGCGCGCGTGCGCGCGCGCACACACACACACACACTATGGGACGGAGTGATCTGTTCTGATTTAGTGTGTCTAATCCAGATAGCAGAAACAGCTAATTTTTAAAAGACTTTTTCCCCCTCTTCTATGTGAGAAGTGGCTTCTGCCTCAAAGTTGGTGAGTCTGGTGGCTCTGGATGGAACTAGAGCCAAGAACCCAGGAATGACCCAGTCTTCCCTACTAACCACCCCTCTTCTCCACTTGCTTCCTGAAAGGGCTTCAGCCCCAAACGGGAGTCAAAGTGCCAATTTTATAAACAGACTCTCAAACTTGACTACTTCAATGGCGAGGCAGACAGTCACTCTTCCCAGAACTCTTGGGACTGAACCACCTTCCAGTTTGACAACTGGAGGATGGAAGCTCAAGACTGAAGGAGCAAGAGGGCCAGGTGTGCATCCAAGACCTGGGCTTAACTCACCCGCCGGTCACGGCCCAGGGAGGCTGGAGGGGAGAAAGCAGGTGCCCTGCTCTTCAAACACCAAGCCTGAAGGTTAGCTGACCATCCAGAAGAGCAAGCAGGGGGTGGGGAGAAAGGCTGGACATGAATGAGCGAAACAGTAACCTGCCCATGCATAAAAGGTAATGAACATTCTAGAATTTTCCCAAGCCACTTACCAACCCTCCTCCCTCTGAGGGTGAGTGAAGGAGGAGGTGAAAAGCTGGCCTGGTAGAGAAAAAGGCAGAGAGACACACCTCCCTCCCCCAATTCCTCCCAAGACCTAAGATCTCATATCATTTACCTCCAAGAGCCAGACCTTTAGAAACTGGGTCCCTCAAAGAGCCAAGTCTCGTTTCACTCAATGACAAGAGAAAGCTTTGCTTCTAACTTGGAACTTCTTCCTTGGTCTTCTTTCACCTCCATGGGCATGGGTGGTCTCCCTTCAAAGCTTTCTGGAATCTGTGGGTAAAGTATAAGAGCTCAAGAGAAGAAGCAGGGAGGAGCACCGGAGGACATCGCCACCTCCCAGGCCCTTCTGAGTCATCGAACACTCCATCCCCCAATCAGGTCTCCAGAAAGCTCATCTTTAAAGCCATGTACCCACCAATAGTACAATTCCCAACCTGAATTCCTGTGGAGAGAGATGGGTTATGTGCAGTGGTTCAGTGACCACAGAGCCACTCATCCATGACATGTGGGTGGGTGGGTTTGCTGGGGGGGGGGGGCAATTGAAGCCATCAGGGGCTCCTAGGAGGGAGCCTGGGCTCTCACCCTCTAAAACCTCACCTGGGGTCATCTACCTCCTCCACTGCACTGGGATCCTCGGTCACCTGCCTGGCTACCACCCCTGTAGGCCCCTCTGCCCCTCCTCCCACTTCATCCAAATCACATGCTGTCATCCTCACCATTGGAGCCACGAGGAGAGCCTCCTGGCTTGGCCTTCAGACCCCTGGATGTTGAGGCTTGTGACCTGGAGTGCTGGAGGCCTCTAGGGCCCTTCTGGGCTGACACATCCCTTCTCAAGCCAGAGGCCTTCTTTGCAATCATGGGCTTCTTCTTTGCCTCTTCGGAATCAACCAGGACGTAGGAGACTGGGCCCAGACTCACCTTCTTCTTCTTCCTCATGGGGGCAGGGCTCTTTCCCGAGCCCCAGCCCATGGCCTTCTTCTTTGGGGGCCTTTGCTGACCACCATCTTGAGCTAACTGAGCAGTGCTTGCAGGGCTCTCCACTTCCCTAGGGGCCTCCTGAGGTGGATCCCGGGGCACCTTCCAGGCACTTTTTGCCAAAGGCTTCTTCAGAGATGATTCCTCCTGCTTCACACATGGTTTTTTGTTGCTCTTGATAGACTCCGAGATCTCCATGCTTTCGCCCTCCCCGGCATTGCGATTCTCCAAGTAGGCGGAGCTAGTGGGACGGTTGCCTTTGGGCTTTTTCCAGGGCACTGCTTCCTGCTTGAGATTTTTTTTCTGCTTCTTTCTCCTGGAGCGAGCCTTAGCTCCAGCCCTGCGAACTAGAGGTTTGGGAGGGTCACCCTGGTTTTCCATGGCATTCCAGTGGCGGGGGTTCTCCATCTTCAAGGTGGAACCCAGTTCTGCAGCCAGCCCCGGCTCCTTCTTGACCTTCTTCCCTGCTGCTGATACCCAGGCTGCTGCCTCCACTGCCTCGGCAGCCTCCTGAGCCCTAGCTTCCTCCCGACTGCGGATCTCCGCATCCATGTAAAAGATGACTTGCACCACAGCCCCCAGGAGCACCCCCAAAGTCTCTGCCCAGTTCTCCGAAGGCGGCTGGTTCTGGGATGGCGAGGGGTGGTTAAGCTGCAGCAAGCGGACCACATCCTCCCATGTGCGCCCCTCGGCATCCAGGAATTCATTCAGGTTTTTCAAAAACTCGGCATCCTGGGTGGGGTCCCTACAGGCCACTCTCCAGGCACCGCCTCTTCCTGGGAACTCTCGCGGTATGGCACTCAGATTCACACCCTCGCTAACCTCGATAAGGGCAGCCTTCACGTTCTCCTCCCTCAAGAAAATCTTGTTAAGCACGCGGTAGGAGCCCAGGGGCGAGAGGACCCCATTCAAGGTCTCCTCAATTTCTGCCTGGCCACAGTCCTCTGGGATGCCCGTGACCAACAGGGACCTGTGGATGTCCACTTCCATCCCGCGACACCAATCCTCCAGAAGGTTCATTGCCATAGCCTCCGACATCTGGCCGCTCTAAGCCCACGCAAAGGGCCTACTAAGTGGATGTGAGCTGCAGGGGTCCCCAGATAGGAATCCTGCAAGGTCACAAGAGGGTGAGGTCAGATTCCCTGGAAGCTACCCGGGCTCCCGAATCTCAGCGGCCCACTGCGGCTGGCCCGCAGGCGGCCTCGCGCTTTCCCAGACCCTCCTCCCCAGCCGGGGCCCGAGTGCTCACACGAATCCCGGGATCTGGCGCAACGGTCCTCGGGGCTGGCGCTCGGCCAGCGGCAGGGATGGACCGGGCAGCCCCGCCTCCGACGGTCCAGCCAGGCCAAGGGGTGCAGCCACTCCTCAGGAGCCGGCTCGGGCCGCCCTGGCGCTGCGGCTCGAGCCAGACAGGGCAGGAAGCCGCAATCCGCCCCCGCTCCGGCGCGCCGAGTCACGCGAAGCGGGGCCCGATCAGCAGCAACTGCGCCGACCGAGCCTGGCGTCGCAGCGCGCGCCTGCGCACTTGCTCCCGCACCGCGGCGCCCGGTCTCGGCCCCCGCAGCTCCGGCGGTCTCCATGGCAACCGGAGGCTGGTTGCTAAGAGGCGGCGTGGCCTGCGGCGGGCTCTGCAGTAGAGTCTAGCGAGCTGATGCAAAAACTGCGACAGTTCAGGGGTGCACCCCGTGAGGGGTCTAGAGAGCCCCCCATCGCCCCTGCAGACCCGCTCTTTCCACCCTTGACTGCCTGGTGTGGGTCTCGGGATGCGGTGGGAGCGCTGACCTCCATGGCTGTGCACAAAACAACTCTCACCCTCTGCCCTCCTGGGAGACACCAGAAATCAGAGAGCAAAAGGAAAGAGAAGCTTTAATGTCTTCTGCCCCCGCCCCTAGTTCCGCTCATAATAGCCACAGCTCCGTTTGGAGCAGCATTCTCTCCCTACAGTTCCTGGGTTCTGGAACCTTCCAGAAATTTCTAGAAATCTCTCCCTCCCTTTTAGGCAACTCCTTTAGGCCTGAGATGAGTGCATCACCTGACCTTGTTGATTCTTCAACTTGCTGCCTTAACACCTTTGTTTATAGTGAGAAACTGATGTGACTCCATTTTTAAAAATAAATAACAGCAGCTTCTACCTCAAGGCCTGTCCTAAGGAAAGGGGCATGACCCTTGTCCTTGAAAAAATCCACAGAGCACTCCTAAGCACATACCCACCCTGCTGAGATGTTTGTAAATAACAGGAGAGGTCTGAGGCACCAGGTGTTCCTGACTCAGTTAGGCTAG